TATATATTAACACACACACACACACATATATATACATATATCAAAATATAACTACACCAGATTGATAGGNGGTTTTGGGATCACCAGGTGTGCATCGAGAACGACGGGTGAGGACTGACGGTGTGCAGTCTACGATTTTGCATAAATCAGATGTCTTCGTTCGTGAACGCAATGATGATTAGCACGTATCTTATAATCGAGAAAGCAGGACTTAGAGTTATACTAGACGACGGAACTGTTGCAAGTGTCTCGTTGGTGTCCGCCTGTGAGTTCCTTTGGCGAGCGTTTTGGGTTTGTGTGCCACTGAACAACGATTAGGGTTAGGGTTGAGGGTTTTATCTCAGCACTTGTCTGTACTACCCTGCATGACCAACTTTCACAGTACTGGCAAGCGCACACAACTGCGTACAACACGCCTTTACATATTGCCACCGCAAACAAACACCACACAAACAGCTTATAAACATGCGTCTCAAACGCCTCACAAACATACGTCCAATACACACTATAATTATACATCCAATTCATATCATAAAATAAACATCTGAAACACCTCACAAACATTTAAACCACATCACAAACATACGTCTAAAACACGTTATAAACATACTCACAAACATCCGTCTGAAATACCTCTCAAATATACGTCCTAAACCCCTCACAAACATACGTCCAAAACACCTTAAACGTACGACCAATACACCTCACAAACCCTCATCCCCAAATCACCTCAAAAAGATTTTCCTGCAAACCCCTCAAACAAAAGAAGTATATATTAGGGAGTCGACAGGAACGCGTCAGACAGTGTACTATTGAACAATTGGCACCCACAAACACCTAGAGTTAAACGGACTCGTGCAAACACAAACACCCCATGCACACAACCCCGCAACACGCACCAAACACACAGACAAATAGGCCAGAAAGGGGACGAGACAGCGATTGAGTGCATATCAAATAGGGCCCGTTGGTACTGGTACATGAACACACACACACACCACTCACACACACACCACTCACACACACGGTACATGAACACACACACACACCACTCACACACACACCATACACACACGGTACATGAACACACACCACTCACACACACACCACACACACACGGTACATGAACATACACCACTCACACACACACCACTCACACACACACCACACACACACGGTACATGAACTCACACACACATCACTCACACACACACCACTCACACACACACCACACACACACACACGGTACATGAACACACACACACACACCACTCACAGCCTGCACCCGCACACGTGCATGCTTATGCTTATGCTTCACACACACAGCGACAAAGAAGGTCAGAAAGCCGACGGGAAAACCACAGACACATCCACCGACCCAACCAATGGCCACAGAAAGAAGCCCACGGCACAAGACTCGGCACCCACACGCAGCAAACACAAACGCACACACAGCTCACACAAGGAAACGGGAGACGCCAAGCAGGCGGGTGGGGGTAGTACAGACGCTCTGAGGATGTTGTCTCTGGGCGCTAACATGAGTGGGGGTCACGGTATGGTGGGAGAGGGGCTTTTGTGGGCGGCATGTTCATAGACACGCATGCGTGTGCGTGTGTGTGTATGTGGGTGGGACATGGATAGGAGTATGCGTGTGTGTGTATGTATTTATGTGTTTGGAGGACGGGTGTGCGTATGGGTGTAGGGATGTGTTTGTGGTATGTGTTTGTGTATATATGTGAGTAGGCATGTGTTCGGGAGTTGGGACACGTGTATCTTACTATATACACTCGTGACATTGCTAGTGACAGAGAGCATCGGAATGAGGGCAGGCAGTGGGACGTACAGCATTCTTATACACTATTCAGCCCGCAATCCCCGCTAGATATGTATTTTGGTATATCCGATATTCACTCATGTAGTGTATCAGTAACAATGACAGACAAGAAATTGACATAGTGCTAACCAATTTGACATCATCCAATATATATATATATATATATATATATATATATATATATATA